GGGGGTGTAAGTAACCCCAATAACCCCCCTTACTTACGCCACTGTCAATCTCTATTTTTGACAAAAAAATGTGTACTGCAGTTTTAGAGGGAACATGATATCAAAATAGTGCTGCTTGGACTAATGAATACACGTTTTTTGTAAACAAACATATATCACACATGGGGTCTGCCCCCTTAGTAATTGTAAATTGGCGGTACAGTCCAAACTAGGACAGCAAAGGTTGGCCCAGCTCGGATTTCCAATGTTTCCAACTTCTCTGGTGTGAACGCGGTCCTTGATTTTTTACGACTATCTTGCAATTCTTAAAACTTCATATTGACAGTTACACATATTGCAGAGGGGGGTACCTTCAGTCTTATTCCTTCCCCCTCCTGTGTTTTGTTAACATTTTAAAGGAAAAAGAAACATCCATACTTCTCTACTACTCAGACCATGCCCGTAAGGGACTGTTAACTGTTTTTTTCCTGGCTTACTCACAAAAAATTTTGTCTCAAGTATATTTTTTTATGAACCTCTTTAAAACCTTCCCTCTTATTAAAGTTTCTATAGTACAGCGTGTTCCCTCTAAACACGAGAATTCAGTGAAGACTTTTATACATTATGATTTAAAAGTCTCGATCTCTCAATCAAAAATCGATGAGAATTTTGCAAATTACATCTTAAAAACCAAAGCTAAAATCAAGTGCTAAAATGTACATGTGAAGGGCTACAGAAAAGCATACGAAAGTGGTAAAAATAAGACTGTTCATAGGCTGGCTGAATCTATTCTTCGATCCATTCGGCATTTTCATGAACATTTCCAGTTAACACGTCATAATATCGTAAACGCCTGGTCTTGAAATTTTCAAAATGTGTTCTACTATTTTTTTATCTTCAAAATTGACGGAGATGCTGCAAAATGTGTACTTTATTTAATAAAGTCTCTACTTATAATAGACACCTTTATGATATATTCATTAACCACATTGACTACATTTTTCTGTAAAAACTGGATTTATTTCAATCATTACTTTTTAAAATTTAATTCTTGATAACCTTGATATTTAAACATTTTATTTTGTCCCTCCCCCCCCCCCC